AAAAAAATATTTATATTCTTACTCATTTTACAAGTGAGTAATAATTTTCAAAAGGGGGCCTTTACGAGAAAAAAAAGGAAAAAACGATTTCAAATTTTTAAAAATTTCAATTCGACCGCCAAATTATTTAATGGCTACTACTGCTGCCACGTTCTTTAAAATAAAAATGGCCGCAAATGTAAAGAGGAAAAATTAAATTTTTACTCGATTTTAAACAAACAAAATAATAATAATAATAAAATAAACGTGCGACAGTGCGTGTCGTATCTTTTAATTCGCATCAAACGTGAATTTAAAAGCAGACGATGGAAAATTTTTTTTTTAACACGGTTATAAATCATCATCATTATTATTAATTTTTTTGTGTGTTTGAAAAAAAAAAAAAAATCGTAAGTTTTTAACCTTGAATATTAATTTTATTTGTTTATAACGTTGTACGATTTTTATATATATATATAAATAAATAAATTATTAATGTTTGGTAATCTGAACATAATAGTAATAATAATAATAATATTGTGTGTAAAACAAAAATGTCTGAACAATTAATTTTTTGTTTTGTAATCAGGTAATAATTCTGAGAATTTTTTTGTTAACGGTTAAATATTTTTTTCTTTTTCTTTGCGGAAACAAAAATTTTCTTTTATTAAATTCGCGCAAACTTAATGAATGAAAAAAATAAATAATAATAATAATAATAATAATTTAAGGTCCTAATCTTTCAACAGGTACTAAAAAAAAAAATTTTTTTTTTAAATTCGATTAGCAATCCGGAAAAATATAATTCAAGGTTTTTTGTTTAAAAAAAAAAGTACCTTGTTATCTTATTAATGATAACGGTTTGAATGAAATATTTTTTTCTAGGAAAATTAATTTTTTTTAAAAAAAAAAGTGAAGAGAGGGAGGGAGGGAGGAGTTTTCATTATCATTTATGAACGATTTGAAATAATAATAATAATAATCGTTTCCTATCGGGAGGATAATTATTTTATTATCAATTATGTGATTTTTGTTTGTTACAATTGTGGTACACACACGTGTATTATTATTATTTATCGAAAGCATTTTTTTTTTAAACGATAATTTTATTATAAATCGTAAACCATTGTGTGCCGTTCGTTATTATTATTATTATTATTATTATTATTATTATTATGTCAATCGAAATTTCGATTAACGAGAAACCGTAAAATTCATACGTACGGCCGATAGAAAATTTTTTTTTTTTAAATAATAAAACGTGATTTAATTTTTTTCGCCTTAAATATGAAAATTTTTTTAAATACGCGGAAGGAAGGAACAAAAGAAAAGTTTTTCGGAAAAAAAATAATAATAATAATAAAATAATAAAATTAATAAAATTTTTTAAAAAAGAAATTAAATGTAACAGTATTTTTTTTAAAATATTAAATATCAAGTTTTGATGTTCTTAAGTTATTTAAAAAAAAAAAAAAACTTGTTTTGTGTTGTGTTTCTGACTCAACATTCATTTTTTTTTTAAAGCAACTTTTTTTTATTACAACAACAACAAACAACAAACAAAAATTATAATATTAAGCAATAAACCTCTGGCAAATTTATATCATAGAGATATTAAACAAACAAAAAAAATTTAACGTACAAAAATCTTTTTTTTTTTTTTTTCGGGTAATCCCCATATTCTGGCTAAATCATATGCAAAACATTTGTTGACAAAACGGGGGGATTCCCTTTGGAAAATAAAAAAGGCAAAGTTTACCACGCAAAATTTTTTTAAAATTTTATTTTAACTTTAATTAATGCCAGGTTCGTACGACCTTGTTTAAAATTACACCTGTTTTGTAAATTTATCCTGAGGGGGATTTAAATTTACTCGTAATTAAATCAATTTAATTTAAAATATTTCGATTAATCGTTTTATTTAAACTTATTTATGATAAAATTGACCGAGTTGATAATTTGATTAAAGTAGTAATAAAAAAAAAAAAGAAATTTATTTTTTAAGGACGAGTGGTGGTGGAAAACGAACGTAAAACTCTCCTCTAAAATTATCATTATTATTTTTTATTAATTTCGCGTAATTATCAAATTATAATTATTAATAATTTAATTTAATTATCTACCATAAAAGGTCAAAACGTGGTATGCTAACCTTTCTATACGGTCACATGCATTTTTTTTTTATAAATGGAATTTTTAATAAGTAATAATAATAATAATAATAATACGAGTTTAATAAAAATTCATGTAAAAAATGGCGTTGTTGAGTCACAACTCTAAGAAAATTGTCTTATTCACTCAATGTTTTAATTTTTGAAAAAAAAAAAAAAAAAAAAAAACAAGGATCTCCCCACGATCGAAAACAAGTTGATAATAATAATAATAATACGTATATGCCCTCGAGATCAATGTGCCAACATTAACAACCATTTAAATCACATTAAAAAAAAAAAAAACTTGTGTCGTAAAATAAATAAGTAAATAAATAAATAAACAAATTCAAGTTTTTATTTATTTATTTATTTATTTTTTAATAAGTATACATTTTTTTTAAAACGAAAAAAAAAAAAATTAAAAAAAACGGGAATAAAATTTTCCAAATGATAAAAAAAAATAAAAAAATTAACACGAATTTTATTTTAATAAAATTAATTCGTTGAACGGTTTTTTTCGTTTCCTTTTTTTTTTTTTTTGATTTGTTATATTGGTTAAACTGGAGTGCAACTTTTTTTTAATACTTAAAAAAAAGTTAAATATTTTATTACAGTAAAAAAAAATGGATTTTAAAAATCGTTAAAAACGAAAAAAAAAAATTTAAATAAGTTTAACGTAGAATTTATATAATTCCTATCATTATTATTATTATTATTATTATTATTATTATTTTATATGTACGTATATGTATTTATTTAATATCTTATGTTAACGTACAATTTATTTATTTTTTAACGTCAGTAATGACGTCATTCTGGGAAATGAAAAATTTTTTCCTTTTTTTTTTTTTGTAAAACTTGTTTATACGTAAAATCCTGATTTTTACGGTCAATACTGTGTGTTTTAATGTTACATTATTATTATTATTATCATTATCATTATTATTATTATTATTATTATTATTATTATTATCGATATTATTAACGTGTAAAGTGTTCATCTATCCTTACGATCAATGTCATTTATTTAAAAAGGAGTGTCAGTAAAAAAAAATTTTTTTTTTTTTTTCGATTTGATTTCATTAAAAGGATTTCAATTCTCCTACACGAATAATTTGTGTGTGTTATGACCTGAAAATTAAATAATAATTTACAAAAAAAAATTATCATTATCACTACCTAAAATAATAATAACAATAATAATAATAATAATAATTTTTGTTTCCTCATTGCGATCGATGAAAAACTGGTCATAATCGTTCGTCTAAAGTTTTTCTCACCTTGATTTAAAAAATTTTTTTTTTTTTTAATTTCAAACGTCATAACAATGAAATAAATTTTATTAAATCCATTGAAAGGAAGTCGATAACAACAACAACAACAACAAACAAAAAAAACCCCGATATCGTATATATAATCGAACCGTTATACGGATAAAATAT